ATGTGGTCTTTGGAAAAAGAAAGACAATATATAAGATTACCTGGAGATTCGGTCATCCAGGTCATAGTTGTCCCAAAGGTGCTTTTTCAAAAGGCAACTGGACTTTATTTTTCCTTGAAGGTTTTTTTCTGCTCATCCAAGAAGCTTCTTCAGTTCTGACTGCATAGTCAGTCTCTCCATTCTCGGTACTGTCTGTTCAATTTATTCAGAAGTTTCCAATAATACAAGTTGATCACCATTAATAAATGCTATGGAAAAGCACCAAGCTTTCCAAAAATACACCTGTCATACATATGCCTGCATCTGAGGTCAAAATAATGGTGAAAGAAAGTGGGTCTTTAAAAATAATTTTTTGAAGTTCTTAATAAACATATAAAAGCTAATAAATGAGAAGAAAATAGAACAATAAAAATGCATAAAGTGCAGAAAAAAATACCAGAAAAAGACAATAAAAGTGATAATAAAAAAGTGGCTTTGAACCTTCATACCAAGCATAACAATACAGTACCTTTTCACCCTCCTTAAAATTACAAATAAACACCCCCCATAGCATTTTACCAATGCATAATCCCAAAACATAATCGCACTACCTATTCATAGATGAACATGGATTCTGCTTTCATCAACGTTTGGTCAAGCTCAACAGCAATCTTGCAATCAGGATCCTTGGAAAAGCACCTCCAGAAAAGAGTAAAAACACGTGCTTTTATTTAATTTATGTATTTATTTTATATTTTTATTTCATGTTTCAAATTTAGAGACTGCCCACCTCACAGATTTTGTAGATTGCATTTCACATTTAGATGGCCAATGTGGAATTTGCATGTTTAAATTGGTTAGCAGCATATAACGGTCCTAATGGAGCCCGTAATACTTTTTTAAAAAGATGATTTGCAAAGAAAAAATGGCACAAGAGCTTTCCGGCTATATTAAACAAAAACAATTAAAGAGAAGTAAGATCCAGTCCTGATCACCAACGTCTCATTTATTTGGCCCTCCCTAAAAAAATTCATGTTATAGAAAGTTAAACGCCTTTCAAGTTTACATGATTGCTGTATTTGATAAAATGAAGTCACAAAACAATAAGTGGCAAAATCCCTATTTCTTAGCCTGCTTAAGCCTGGGCTTGATCATAAGCTTGGTATTCTGCCAAAATCCAAGCATTGTTTAAACAGATGTTCCTTTGCACTATACAATTCTATATTATTGGGAGCTGTTTCCTTTTAAGGCAATCAGTTGCTTTGAGCTATGAGAACATTTTTATTTTAGAAGGTAGTGAGTTGAATGAAGTACATAATATACCCTTTTGCCCATGTCTATTCTGTCTACTTCTTCCTTTGGAACCAGGGCAAGTATAATCAGCTAAAACCCAAGCAACATGTCTTTTTGCATAGCAACTATTGAAATTTAGGGGTTCGTTCTGAAAGTTATGTAGGTTACCTGAATGTCTATAAACAGAAGATGAAGAACAAAATCTGAGAAATGACCGGTGTTCACAAATTGTTCCTGGAAAATGTTTCCAAATTCCCACTCTGATACTTTTGACTCTTTCTACATTTTACCAGTGAAACTTGTGAGGTAGCTTCAAACATGAATAAATCAGTTTGCTTTCTGTAGGCTATGCCCTGCAACCTTTTGTAAAAAAAAAAAAAAGACCCATTCTTGCTTTTAAAATTCTGCAGCTCTTGCTGACAGAAATCACAGTATCATACTTTAAGGTACAGTAAGGGTTCCTAATACAGTCCAATAGTGACATCTTGTGGACAATATTGTCTATCACTTCAAACTATTCTTTTTCAGCCTGCCTGGGATTTTTATTTTATGATTTCGTATAATTCCAATAAATATGCCAACTCCAATAATAATCAATTGTTGTTCAACAATGCCAAACAAATTACAGGTAGTTGCTTAATGATTGCCTTGTTTACCAACAGTTTGCAATTACAATGGTGATGAAAAAGTAACTTTGCGACCAAATCTCGTATTTATGACCTTTATAAATCTGTGAAGCAAAGGAAAACATAAGTAAGATAAAAAACACAGCTATTGTTCCATTTAGTGACCACTTCTCTTAATGACTGAATTGCTGATCCCAATTATAGTTGCTAAATGGGGACAGTGTCATTACCTTATTTATGGTAAATAATGGAGTTTTCCATTTAATGCTGAAGATAAAGTGCCAAGGCCAATTCCTTCAAGATACCACTTCACTCTCATTTATGCAATGCAAGCATAATTTCCTGCCTATAGACCTTCAAAATGTATGCATTTATTCATCACATTTCTGTACCATAGAAAATATCCATAAGCTATTAAAAAGCTACATATTCCAGTCATTTAAATATACCCAAATATATTGCATATTTCATCCAAGAAAGCTTTCTGATACATCAGCATTTTGATGCATGCAATATATTAGTATTTTGATGCAGTATATACAGGGAGGAAAAAGGGACTATTTCTGGAAACATGAGAACTTCAAAGAGATTTACAATCCTGCACAGGCTTGGTTGCTTCAGCTAGTACAACCTATTTTGGATCACACTACTAATGTACCAGGACAGGAAGACCTGGAGGAACATTGTCCATGGGGTCGCGATGGGTCAGACACGACTTCGCAATTAACAACAACAACACTAACGTACCATCTATACCCTTGGAGTTTTCAGCAAGACTTATTGGGGGGGGGGTTAACCATATCTAACCCTTTATGATCTAAGACTGATTCACTGAAACATCATAAACATCTCAGCATGCTAAATGCTACATAACAGGGAAGGGGAAGGAAATCTGCAATTAGAGAGTGCAGTCTATGACATTGTACTAAGCCACAATGGAATCTGAAGCCTGTGTGACCCCAGACAATGACAATATGCTTAACAAATCATGGCTTTGTATGATGTGTGAACTGAGCTCGTATGATAGCTGGAAATTCAAACCCCTCTTTTTCATTTCTTCTACATTTTGCTCTCCTCCTGCAGACAATCTCTTCATTAGCAATTAATAATTTTGCAAATGAACACTATTAATATATAATGCCAGTGAGATCATTACAGCAGTCTTACCCAGTCTTTTTTTTAAAAAGAGATTTTATTGTTTTTTTAATTTTTGAAACAAAGTGCTCAAGGCACACCGTGGTGTTAGGGTAGACAAACATCCAAAAACAAAAACAAAACATATATACATAGTTCAATCAATACCTCTAGCATTCCCTCTCTTTTTGCCTTAGATAACATAATTTATTTAGAATAGTCCAATTCTAGCTTAAATTTATTCAACCTATATCTGTTTTTAAAGCTTTAGAGATTTACACTACCATAATCAAATTAACTTTAGGTACAAACATTATCAATTCGGGTATCCCTTCCAAATATATTCTAATTCCTTAATTTTATCATAAATCTACCCAAAGTCTTCTATTGTACCACTACGTCGTTAGAAAACAATGTCCTGGTAAGGAACCAGTTGTTGGCCACAATAGAATAAAATACACCCAGACTCTGCTGTGGCTTGCAGAACTGAGGGACTGCTGGTCTCTAGCTAGCAAGTGCAGTGGGCATCTAAGAGTCTGTTCCTCAGCAGGCTGTTGATCAACTTGAGCATCTGATCAGTGGAGAACAGACTGGCGGTTTCCGGCTGCTAATGGCAATGGGAAGTCAGCAAGCTTGAGCCGTATTGCTGAGGAGGATGAGGAAGAGCCTTGCCCGTCTCAGCAATTCTACTCTAAATCCCGGGCTTCCTGCAACAGGAAACCAGCCATCTGGAAGTAGAATCACCAGAGGAGCAATTGACTATATAGGTCAGGGGTCTCCAAACTTGGCCGCTTTAAGCCTTGTGGACTTCAACTCCCAGAATTCCTCAGCCAGCATGGTTGGCTGAGGAGTTCTGGGAATTGAGGTCCACAAGTCTTAAAGCGGCCAAGTTTGAAGACCCCTGACACAGGCTTTAGCTACTAACACTGGTATTACTTGCCTAAGCTTTTTAATTGGTGGAACTTCTGTGATATATGATCCTAAGGAACCTTTCTTCTATTTAGCTCCATTGATTCCTCTCTCCTATTAGACAAAGACCCATCTTACTAATTTCTTCCACTTTTGATGCTTTCTGCATACCATATTTGTTTCAAAATATCCTCTAATTCCAGATCTGCAGTTAAGAAACAGAAATCAGAGAACATGTATCCCGATAATGGCACTGAACTGAGAAGAAGCGCCTACCAAGGGGCCTTTAGGATCCAAGGCACTGCCCCACTTTAGCTTGAGATGATGTTTCTGCCTGCCATGCTAATCACAAGTGTGCATGTCAGCAACATTTTGTCAGTTCCTTTATGGCTGTGCATTGTGTGAACACCAAGAAGCTGCCCTTTTAGATTAGTATAAACTGCAAGCTGGAAATCAATAACCAACCAAGGTTTCAACATACAGGGAATTATATGCTTTTAATTGTAATCCTTTTATCCAGAATATTTTTTTTTGTTCGCTCAAGTTAGTCTTGACTCCTGGCAACTGCCTCAACAATTCCCTATATTCACTATATGGTTATAATACTACCAAATGCAAGACTCTACACCTGTAATGTTCCCAGAAATGAAAACTTAACAGAAATAGGGCATATGTAACTACATTCATGCAATGGCAGTCTTTCAGAACTACTGACAGAATGTTTGTGGAGCATTTTAGAATATTTTGTATCACAAAACAAATGCTGAACACTTCTTATAGAATCTATAGTACCCTCAAAAACCCTGTTACAAACTTCAGACAATCACAGTCATTACTGCTTTTCCCAACAAGATTTAGATCAGGGATTTCCAAACTAGGATGTGTACTTCCTTTGAGGAGATGCTGACAGAATCTAGGGTAGGTATGAAGAACCTTTTAGTTGTATGTTGTATATTGTAACCAACACACACACACACACACACACACACACACACACACACACACCCCCTCACTTTTCCCAGAATAGTAGTTTCAATTGAATAAAATGGTGGTGAAGGAGGTACAGACTCTAGCCACGTAAAGAAAAATATCCCTTTTCCTTACATGATCAGAGTCTAGTCCAAGCTTTGGAAAACAGGTTGAAGAAAGATCCCAGATCCTTAAATTAAATCTAGGAGGAATTCCTGCTTGAGATGGGATGAGGTACCAAATATTAATCTGTGATGCTGAAGATCGGAATGAATCCCCAGTCCCAGAGTAGCCAGAAACTCAACAGGACAAGTCGCCTTCAGCAAGAGGAGACTTACTAACCGCGCAGTGGCTAAAACCTTAAGAGAGCCCTGGGACTGGGCGAGAGAAAGAAAAGGCGACAAGCTTGGGGAGCGGCTGCGACCAGAAAGGCCTCTTCCTCTCCAGCCTCGGCGGAGGCAGATTGGATGGCGCGGCCTCCACCCCAGCCTTTGGCTGCCGCCTGGGCCTTCCCGTCGGCTCCAGCGGATGCGAGTTGGTTGGCCAGGGGCGGGGAAGGGGCTGCGGCCGAACCTAGGATGGCTGGAGCGCACCAGCTGCACAACATCTGCGGAGCCGGAAAGAAGTTCTAGCGCGCCCCAGCTCGGGCAGGACGAGACTGATTTAACGGTAGGTGATAATCTGGGATTTCCTGGGGTGGTGAAGAGAAAGCAGGTTGGCAGGAAATCGCACCGTTGTCTCGAGCCAGGCCAGGTGCGCGTGGGAAACGAAATCGCCTCTTGCCCCGGCGACCCCGCGGTCTTCCTGGGCCCTCTGCTAGCGCCTCCCGTGGGCGCAGCGCCGCCTCTGTTTGTCCCGGGGCTGTGTGAACAGTTGAAAACGAGACGCCCGCCTTCGTACCATAGTAACGGAGGCTAGAGGAAAGCTTAGAGCACTTTGCTTTTTTCCACGGTCACTTCCCGCCGTTCTCCTCCGGGGGCTCCTCCGCCCGACTTTCCGCTCCGCTGCCACCTCCCGTCTCTCTGTGGCTAGAAAAGGGACGCCACCATAACCCTGTCTGATGGGAACCACAGGAGAAATAAAATAAACAAGGGCGGGTTCGCCACTTTTCTGCGTGTCTATCCCAGCTACTGGGGCTTCAGGCAGCCAAGGAGTGTCCCACCTGTTGGACTGCAGCGTTTAAAAGATTTTAAAGAGTATTTTATAGGACCCTGGCAGAGATCAAGGGACAACCCTAGGAAAGGAAATGCTTTGTACATCCTAACAAAATAATCATTGCATTCTTGCACCAATTCATCCAGGAATAAAAAGTCCATTTTAGCGATTCCCACCTCTCCCTCTCTCTCTCTCTGCCAGCTAAATAGTTGAAAGCTTAACAGTTTTAACCTTCTCTTCCTCCTCTTCCTCCTCCCCACTTTCCTGTTGTATTGCTATCATATGAACAATTTCCCAGAACATAATGAATTTATGCCTTTCTGATTCGAATGCAACCAACCCATAAAAATCAAGACTCAACGAGAGGCTGGCTTGGATGAATTTGTTCATTCTGATAACTGAACCTTTCAATTTCTTTCTTTCTTTTTTTACTTAAATTGACAACAAGAATAAAAACAATTGGCTAAGGATGTAATAAGAATTGTACCTATAGCAAAATTTTGCCTTACTACCATTCGGAGGGCAATCAAGAATTTAGATATGTAGAAAAGTATTTTTGGCATCTTTTCTTCTATAAAGCTGTCTTCAACTTGGAGAGAGCTGTGATTGAAATGGGGGAAGTAGTACACTAGAGGGAACTAAAATACTTTCCCCTATCCACTCCCGTTGTCTTCACAACAGTGTCATGAAACTTCGTTTAAGGAAAAAGAAAGTGCAAGAGATGAGTCATGGATCTTATTAATCAATTTTGATCTTAGGTCAAGCTAAATCTGACAGCCGGCCTTGAGAAAAATGTACAGATACTATTTCAGATGTAGCTTGTGTACTTTTGCCATATGATCTGGTGCATAATCTCTTCTGTCATGTCAATTGTGTTTATCTGGCCTTCAAAGAAAAATATGTCCATAAGTACTGTTTAAATGGTATAAGACAGTTTGAATCCATCCTTACTTGGAAAGGCATTTGACCTGAGTGTGAAATTACATAATGCAGTTGACTAGGACTTTGATCTTGCAGAGGCCAACTCTATTGAACATGTCAAATTCCTTGGTGAGGTAATCAAGAATTGATGTATATTGTCCTTTGCTTTTTTAAAGTAAGAAGTTCTTATCTTTCTTTTAGATACTAAATATGTGTTAATTGATTGCCTTGATGAGATCATTTTTTTGTATTGTCTAGATCAGGGATAGGCAACCTTGACTCTTTTATGACTCGTGGACTTCAACTCCCAGAATTCCTGAGCCAGCCATACTGAGGGGAAAGGGAGAGGTTTCCAAGCTGAGCCATGCTGGCTCAGGAATTCTGGGAGTTGAAGTCCACGAGTCATAAAAGAGCCAAGGTTGCCTACCTCTGGTCTAGATCAGGGGTAGACAACCTTGGTTCTTTTATGACTCGTGGACTTCAACTCCCAGAATTCCTGAACCAGCCATGTTGACTCAGGAATTCTGGGAGTTGAAGTTCACAAGTCATAAAAGAGCCAAGGTTGCCTACCCCTGATCTAGATGGAAGTGATAAAAATTAAAATTACAAAGCAGTATAACGAAGGAAGGCAAATATCCGTGTCCCAGCATAATGTTGCAGGATCCAACCTGGGCTGGTCACCAGGACTAGAGGTTTAGTCTGCTGAGCTTTTGGACTCGTGCTGGAGCCCCATCCTCAGGGAACTTCTCTCTCATATGTTAGCATGAGTCCAAAAGTTTGGAAGACTAAACCTCTGGTCCCGGTGATTGACACAGATTGGATCCTGCTACAAAGCAGCATATTCATCACAAAAAATAGAATAGGATTCACCAATCTCACACAGAGTTTTCTGAAAGTGATTGCTGGGTAGCTGTAAAATAGGGCTTGTATTTCTGTTCCTGATAGACGTATTGTCTTTTTTTAAAATTTTCGACTCAGACTAAGCAGTCCGTAGAATAATATTTGGAAGGGTCCATGGTAAGCCAGGGAATTTGGTTCCCTACTTGGAGCAGAGTGTCCCGCTTCTGTTTGAATATGTGCAGTGAAAGAGGCCCACAACTTTCCTGAATAATCAACCTGCTTTTACTGCCACAAAGTTCTTTTTTCCAACATTCAAATAGGAATTTGCCTTTCTTTAACTTAAAACCATCATTATGTTTCTGCACTCTGGAATAATGGAGAACAGGTTTATCCACTCATTGTGGATAAACCAGGAACTCTTCCTGATCTTTTGTAGATGATTGTCTCCATCTATACTATTAAATGTTGAAAAGCAAAAATCATGATAATAGGTTGATTTTTCTTCTGTCTAAAAAAAAGGTACAACAGTTTCACTGTTGAAATAAAGCTTTATTGGCTGACTATATTTTCAGTTAGCAGCAAATCTTTGTAAAAATTCTAAAACTCTATTATAATGGATACAAATTCCAAACATTATATATGAATCAATTGCTCATGGAAGACATACATTTCTTGCCTTAAGCTAGCACGGAAGATATTTTTTTTTTCTCTTTCCTACCTATATTTTTTCTCAAAGGGCTTCCTCCATGGAGTATCATTAGGCTGAGCACCCTACAAAATTAGGCTGAGGACTTCAGGTTGTTCTGTGTTTCTGCTAGTAGTATTGCCTCAATCCAACAGAGGGCATTCCAACCTTAGATTTATACTGCATTCTTCAGCTTTAATCCTTAGATTAAATTTTCTGTTTTATGGATCTTGAACATTTATTTAGTGTATCTCGGTGCAGGAAGCAGAAATGACCATATGTTTTGCTATTTTGCAATATATATATATATATATTTACTTAAAAAAACCCTTTGACATAGGCATTAGAAATTGTAGCCAATATCTTTTGAAAACGTCCTGAAACATTTGAATTTTTACATCTTCCTGTTTGGGTAGTCATGCGAACTATACTTATGGAGTGAAGAATTCTTCAAAGAGTGGAGACTTTGCAGCTTATTTTAAGCTTCTTTTTTGTGCTGCTCTTTCAGTTTCATTCATAGTTCCCTCAAGAGTCAAAAGGCTTTCATTTTGATGATAATGCCTACACTGTTCCTCTGGAATTAAAAAGTCTCTATCAATAGACTCCTTTGTATCTTCAGTGGAAAATGTGCCAGTTAGTCTGTAAGTTAGACAGATACTTTATGAAATCTCCATCATCTTATCTGATTAATAATCTGTTTGTTTGGATAGTTTCATAACAAAATATTGCCTGATTGAATAGTCATATTCAAATGAGCGATTAACATTCTGATCCACTTCATTTTACGTTAGAAGTTAATCCTGTCATACTCAGTAAATATTTGTTCTCAAATAAGTTTGTATAAGACTGAAACTGAGTGTTCTGGATGAGGCCTTTATTATACATTAAATCTGCCTTAATCTCAGATTGGAGGTGATGATCCAGACATCATTTTATGTGGGACCTGTACTTTCTCTCTGCAGTCTCTTCTATATTTCATCTTACAAGCAGGAATTCATTATGGTAGGAAAGAAGAAGTAACAGAACCATTTTTTAATTTGGTGTCCTTTTTAAGAAGCATACCTTTTTTCATATGAGTACTTTATATGAAGCTGAAAAAATATGTTTCTTACCAATAGAAGAATCTATGATTATTATGTTTTTATTCTATTTAAAAAAACCTTCTTTTTCCATTTGTATATTAAACATTTACTCTGGACCTTAAGCAGCTAACAGCAAAAAATCGGAACATTTTAAAATAGTTTTAGAAATTAAAGAAAAAACTGAAATCTAGAAAGAGCAGCATATTATAATTATAATAAAACATGCAAGATATCCAAAAGCAGATAAAAAACCTATTAAAAACTGCACGTGAAAAATTACATGAATTGTAAAAAGAAAAGGGTTTTAGTCTAGCTTCTGGAAGGCCATTTGAGAAAACAACCCAGGCAAAATGTGAATATTCTCTCCAGATGAAGGATGTAAACGTATCTGTGCTGATTTCAGAGTTTATCTTCTCAACCTAGATGGACCACTGTTTGGGAAGTCCGGCTTCTCAGTTTCTTACTTGGTAGCACTGCTGCGTTCTGAAATGAACCTTTGTGACTTGTGATTTGCCAGATCTTTCTCTGTATTAGCCTTATGTAGAGTTGCGTGAGAAATTTGACCAATATTGATTTTTTTTTTTTTTGCTACTTATATAGCACTGCATTGATGGGGATTGGAGAGAGTAACTGAGTGGGGGTAGCTATTTGTTAGATAAAGCACGACTGGGTTATCTGTGAACTGGCTCTTGATAGACACAATGTGCAGGCTTGCCTTAAAGGAAGAACAGCTTTTGTTAATCTCTGTATAAACTGTGAAAACAGATCATTAATATCTGCTATTTACAAATAAACAACTGAAGCTAATACCTTGGGACATCGTAAAGGTAAGTAGAAAGAATTCACAAATCTTCTACACATGGCTTAGAGAAAAAAAGAACATTTTGTATGAATGTTAGTTTCCCTTTATTGCATAATTTCCAGACTTCTGTGCAGAAGGCAGAGTAGAGACTTGAATAATTGATGTGAATAATGAATACAGTGGT